AGTATGAGAGACGAAGTTTGGCCATCCTGACTTCCAAGGAGCACTCTGGCTGCACTTCTTCCAACACAGATCTGTTTGTTCTTTTGGCAGCCCATGGCACCTTCAATATTCTCCTCCAACACCATAACTCAAAAGCATCAATTCTTATACGGTCTTTCTTATTTACTGTCCAGCTTTCACCTTCATAGCCCCCCCCCCATTTTTTAAAAAGTTTTTATTGTGAATTGGGTGATAGTTTACATGGGAGAACATCAGCTTTACATTCATCCTGTCATATTTCGTTTCATTGCAGTGATTACAATCCCCTCCATGAATCTGCATTCAACAGTATTTGCTTCTGTTCTTCTATTCCCTGTTTGTTTGGATGTACACTGAAGCACTCAGGAATATACAACCATTTAAACAACAACCAAAGGACACACCCCACAAGCCCGCCCATTCCCTGGCTTCCAGCACACAGCCCCTCTCCCTCCCTGAGTCCAGAGTCCCCAGCTGCTCCATCTCTCCACATTGTCTCTGCCTCCATCTCTGGTAACATTGCTTCTCTGGATAGGGTCCCGCACTCTGCTCTTCTCCCTTGATGTGCCCAGGGTCCTCCACTCCTGGACTGCAAGATCAACTACTCCCCTCCTTTTGTTATAAAACATCTACCTTTACATTTTATAGACCCCCCCCCCATTTTAGGTAGCCAATGTCTAAGTTGCCCATCTCTATCAACCCTGTGTGCCAAGAGGATAGGCTTGATCTTTGATGTGAAGACTCCTTCCCTCTCTCTCAATTGATACAGTTCAAGTTAAACAGATTGGAGCAGTTTACACTTACTTTATCAAGTTTGTTTATCATCCTCTAGTTGAGCTCTGGTTATCAAGCTATCAAAGCTACTGTGTTATGTTTAAAAAGTAATTTTTCAGGCTTTATTCCTGTGAATACCTACCTGAGTAGCTAAACAAGAGGATTAGAATAGATTATGTTCACCTATAACCATTTCTCCTTCATTGTAGTAATTGTCTCAAATGAGTTTAGAGGAATAAACTTTAGACTTCCATTAGAAAATATAAGGCACTTTCTTGTTAACAGGGACAGTAAGTTCCTTTCTGAGTTCTTTCCCTTATCAGAGCCTGTCTGGCCTCCCCTCCAGTTTCGTAAAGATTACTAAAGCCCCTGCTCTGTGTGGAACTCCAGGCAAGAAAGAATAAGCCCAGTTGCTGTCAAGTTGATTCCAACTCATGGCAACTCCAGAGTAAGAGTGAAACTGTGTTGTCAGTGACTATGACCTTTGGAACTGATTGTCAGGCCTTTCTAAAGGAGGGCCAGTGAGCGGGCTCAATCCCCAAACCTGTTAGCATGTAGATGAGCCCAAACCATTTGCACTCCCCACCCCCACCAAGGAACTAGCACTGAAATACAAGCTAATAAAGTATTTGTAACTTAACAGCTGGTAACCTAAAGCCATAGCTCCCCAAGAGGGCTTAAGAAGACACACAAACTTTCCAGAAGGAACAAATGAGACTATAGTGATGGAATGCTAGGTAATAAGGTTGGCACTTCCTGTGCTCCAGTCCCTAAAATCATGACTTTGCCTTTGGAGAAATCAGACAGGTCTCTTTCAGCAGAGAACTCAGCCCTTATCTAAAAGGCCTCCTGCCAGCTGATTTGGAAACGGTGAAGGGTAAGGTCATTCTTCTGAGTCTGTCTAGACAGGCCCACTGCTCATGATGGAGAACACGTGATGAGTTTCCAGGGTTGACCTCTGAGCATTGATTTGTATGTTAACTTAGCTGGGTTTGGTTGCTCTGTTCAAACACTAGTCTAGATGTTGCTGTGAAGATTCAAGGGAATTTCAAAAAAGTTGGTGAAGTGGGATTAAAAGGGAATAGAAGTTTTCTACTAACTTTCTGAAGCCCACTTGTTAGTTTGTGGATGTGATTAACATTACAGTCCATTGATGTTAAGTACAAGAGATTACGCTTGATAATGTGAGTGGGCTTATTCAATCAGCTGAAGGCCTTAAGAGCAAAACCACTTGAGGTTTCAAAGAAGAAATTCTGCCTTCAGACTGTAACATATAAATACTGCTTGAATTTCCAGCTTGCCAACTATACCACACATTTTGGACTTCTTGTGACACTGTGGGTTAATGCCCCAACTGCAAAGCCATTTGAACTGCAAGGTCGGTGGTTCAAACTCACCAGCTACTCCTCGGAAACCCTATACAGAGTCGCTATGGGTCGGAACTGACTCAAC